AGCCATCGGCACTGGGCTATTCTAAAAGGGATGCAGGAGGCAGACCCGAGAAGGCTGCAGCTGGGGTGCAGAAGATGGGCTGACTGTCAGCTGGGTCAATGGGTGGCACAAGGAACTCAGCTGAAAGTCAGTATTGAGCAAATCCGTTGGGACCTGCACAGTTCCGTGGACGGGGCCTTGGAGTGAGACTCAGGAGACCTGGGAGCTAGGCCTGACGCTACCACTGACCTTTTGGGTGATCTCTGTTCTTCTGTTTCTTCTTGGATTGGCTTGTCTATTGAGGTTGTACTCTGGGGGGAGGGAGGAGCAGAGACAGTCTCTCACCGTGCGCACGTACAGCACCTAGCCCTGTAATATAAATAATACTGGGTAAGTAAAACAGGGCCTCCTAACGTCTCTGTCCCAGAGCTGAAACCAACAAAGATCAAGCAAAAGAGAAGGATTCCCACACAGCCATACAACCTCCTGTGTCCTTGGGAAAACACATGCCATTGTTTGCAGCTATCTGGCCTGCATGGAGGAGACCTATTCGGTGATGTAATTAAAAGGGGATTACAAACCCTTGAGGAAGCGCACATGCAGGGGTTAATGCTGCCACCTCAGGATCTCAGCAAGGAACCGAGAGCCGCTGAATTAGGGAAGCAAAGGGAAAGAAAGTCGTTTGACCTGAATGTTTTAGGGAGTTTTCAACAGACAGTTTAGGGCTGTTAGTTGCATCCCTCGAAAGCCAGACAGACTGTGAGACTCCTGTGCACTACAGCATGACCCCCACACACGCACCCTCCCCCCACTTAAAACACTGTCAGGTCCCATCTCTGCATATAAAATGGTCAGGGGGCAGATAGAAGGTTCTGGGTTAGTCTGGTCTCCGTACAGGAAAACCAAGGGGGCTGCGGCTTTGCAAAGACAAGGGCAGGGCAGGTTCAGACCCCCGGGGGGTGAGTGAGAGGGTTGGATACAAATTGTCTAGGACAGATGAGTCGACTTCTGGGTCCCACCCTGCTTCCACTTAAGAAAAATGGCAGAACTGCTATTAAAATTGCCCCATCCAGGGCTGCCGATACCGCCCGGAATCCGCTCTGACGATGTGGTTTAGCATAGTGCTTCTTCCCCTGGATGTTATGTTTTTGTTTGGTTTACTGTAACCGGCAATAAACCCAGTGAATGGGTTAGCATGAGCTGAAGCTGTCCCATTCTCCAGGGCAGGGGAGTGGACAGATGTCTGTGTGTTTTATTGCAAAAAGGAAAGGCCACGCCACCTGCCTGGGTGCTATAAATGAAACAGGACCAGCATGGGAGGAGAGGGAGGTCTGAGAACAGCGCCTCTGCATTCCAAACAGCACCAGCTCCCCAAGTGTTACAGGTTCACATGGCAAACTGGACCAATTCCAGAAGTGCGAGAGGTGCAAAGGGGTTTCCACTCTGTGTGCAAAACGGACCTGGGGAGAAGGAAAATCCACCTGAATGTTTTGCTGGGCAGCACTGCTGAGCCTGCAAGCTGGGTCTGCAGTATGCGCTGTAGCGAACCAGATGGATACATGACATAGGGCTGAGAGATGGAGCATAGTGCAGGGAAATCATTTTGGGGCCTGTTCCTGCCCCCATTAAAGCTGCCTATGTATGAGGACGCAAACCAAAACTGCAGAGCCAAGCCCCATTCCCGATGCCAGGAAAGTCCTGACCCACTAGCTTGAAGCATGAACAGCTGAGCTGAAATGCTACGAGCAGAAAACGCTGGTCCATGTGCCAGCTTTCTATCTGCAGCCTGGATGGGGAGAGGGGCAGTTTTAGTGCCAAAGGGAAGGGGCAGGTGGGAGCCCAGCTGTTCCCGGAGGAGGAGGAGAGCAGAGAGAGACGCATCTCTTGTAAACAAAGCTGAGGCCAGGGTAGCTTCCCCTCCATTCACTTGCCCAGCAAGGTGTGGGGCTGACAAGGGGAGGGGCTCGGAAGATCTGTTGACCCGCCAAACACGGCTGTGTTTGCCCATCTCTTCTGCAAGGGGATGTCAGGGAGGAAAAGTAATTTGGAAGCTCGGCAGTCACAGGGGGCTGCTGCTCCAAACAAGCGTTTGAAGGTGTGTAACCCCCTGGATTTGGGACGAGGAGGGGGCAAAGTTTGCTGAGCTGCCTTGTTTTGAAAAGGGAAAGTACACACGAATGAAATGGGGTGAGCATGCCCATCTCCCCCTTTTAAAGGAGCCGTACTCCTTTTTATCTCGGGCCTTTCAAGGCTGGTAATTAAGAACTAATAATGACATATCTGCTTTGCAAGGCTGCCCTTTCATCTCACCTCTCACACAGGCCTTTATTTGCATCGGCCCGCAGCAGATGCTGGACGCTCCCCACGAAGATAAAAAGCAAGACAACCGAGCCCAAGCTGGCTCTTCGCTTGTGGGGCGGCCACCTTGAACTTTTATGGCTTCTTCAAATTGCAGCTGGAGCAAATCCCTCCTTGGGGGGACGTCACTGATGGCGATGGAGTTTACACCCAGGGTGGATGTGTCCCACTGGCTCTGTATTTTCAAATCCGCCTCCACCCCACCAAGATGCTGAGGAACAGTCAGGTTGCTGAAGCTGAGTTGTACGCAGTCAGGCCCAGATCCTCAAAGGTGTTTTGGTGCCTAACTCCCATTGGTGCCATTAGGCTTTTTTGAGGATCTGGGCCTTACTTCCCGCACATCTGGTGCAGAGAGAGAACAGGGTGGGGAGGTTTGTCCTGAAGTCTCCAGGAATCAAAGATTAATCTTTAATGAGAGACGATGTCATGGGATGAAACCTCCAGGTATACGTCCAACCAACACTGGCATCCCTATCTCTGATTGAAAGCCTGGTAACTTTGGGCCCCATCCAGCATTGTCTATTTTCCCTTAGCATCAGTGGGCAAGGAATGCAGCATCCGGCCCTAAAATGTGCTCCTCGGGGGTGGGGAAACCTGGAGCATTTGCAGTGGGGTCAAAGGGCCTGGGGTGAGCGTACACCCCTGGCCGTCATGGGAGCCCAAGAGGGGGCAGCGTGAGCAGGAGCAGAGGGCGACCCCCTGGGAACACCAAAGCCCGTTAATGAGCAGATTAAGACTGGGAAGACAACAGCAAACCTCCCAGCCCTCTCCTCCCCAAACCTGTGATTCCTGCCTTGTGTGTGCATGTGTCTGCAGGTGTCCCAACCTGTGATTCCTGCCACCTTGGGGGGTGTGTGTGTGTGTGTTTGTGTGTTGCACTGCAGCTGCAGAAGAGGACACTTCCACCTATGTGTCAGGAGCAAAGCAATCAAGAGAAGGCGCTGCTTCAAATGAGCCCCATAATGACTTTCTCAGCTCTGGGAGTGGGCCCTTCATTTCCCTTGCTTTTATGGCGGGGCTCTCCCCTCAGCAGGCTCGGTCCCTGGAACCTAGTGAAACCAAAGCTAAGGGGAGACGGAGGGGGGTGGGGGGTGGGACATTACACTGTCTCTTGCCTGGCCTTGCAAGGGGAAACGCTTTGCAGATGTTTTGGGCCCTGGCTTGCTCTCTCCCTCAACTCCCATTTCCTCCCCAATAAAAAGAAAGCCATGCTGGAGTCTGTTGACTGGGGCCAGCCCCCACCCCCGTAGGGCCCCGGACGGAGGTGTGACTTTTCCCAGCTCATTAGGGAAAGGTGTACAATTTTCAGAATTTCAAAACCTAATGACCATCTGAATCCCATCAGTGGAGCCCGCCACAATGACCAGGTAGCAGCAGCAGCCAGTGCTGGGAAAAGATGCAGGGGTTTGGGTGCTGGCCTGGGACACCTGGGTTCAATTCTCTGCCACAAACTCCTTGTGTGACCTTGGTAAGTCACTTAGACGCAGATCCCCAAGGGTACCTAGATGCTTAATTCCCATTGGTTTCAACTTGAGTTAGATGCCTAAATACTTCTGCAGATCTGGGCTGTATTCGCTCTGTGCCTCAGTTCCCCATCTGTAAAATGGGGATAAAAGCATTTCCCTACCTCACGGTAATGCTCAAATGCTATGGTAACAGGGGCCATATCAGAACCTGGGATCAGTAGCTCCATAGACAGCAGCAGCACGGGTCTGGGCGCATGAAATGCCGGATTCTGCCACCCCTATGCACATTGAGTATCGCCGCACTCTGCGAGTTGTCCCACTGAAATCAAGCAAGGTGCTTCTCGGCATGAGTGGGGGAAGGGGGGGACAGGATCCGACCCTAAAGGGTTAATTCATAAGAACAAAGAGCCCCCAAATGCAGAGGGCATCAAGCGAGAGAGGGGAGTGAGGCACAAGGAAAAGCAAAGGAATCACTACCTCAAATGAAGATATAAATCGGTGCCACCAATAACCGTGCAGCCTGCATTCCCCTAACCAGGAGGAAGTCCCCGGAAGCTAGAGTGTTCCCATGTGAGCCAAGCTTTGCTTCCTTACTCTTCAGGCCTGTGGGCCCCTTCCACTGCCCTAACTCTGGCTCTGGGGGTGGCATATTTCCAACCAAGGAACCAGGGCAGAAATTGGCAAGGAAAAGGGGGTTGGGAGAGAGGAGACCTTGGGGCGCTTTGCCTCCTGGATTTATGTACATAGAACCTCTCCCCCCAGCTCCCGTTTGTTGCCATATCCATGGGCTGGCAGCTCCACCGGAGTTGACAAATTGGAAACAATGGGATGGAAGTGACTCTGCAGGTTTGTGTGTGTGTAAACCCAAGGGGCACCGCACCAGCGACCCTGGGATCTTGGGAGATTTCTGAAGCTCCTGTCAAGTGGATCTCACCCCACCCCCCTTTCCAGCTCCCCGGCCCATCCATTAATTGGATCCCTTGTTGGTCCGGACACCTTTTTCATCTGCTACTTAGGGGCGAACAAAAGCTCAGCAGGAGCCATTAGCACTTCAGGGTCCCTGCTCCGGATATAAGGGAGGGAGCGGGGCTGGCCTGTCTGTATGATCAGGCCAGGAGCGCGCTCAGCCCCTCACCTGCCGCCTCCGCCTCCTCCCGGTGCAGGGACCCCCTCGCCGATCTCTGGCACAGCCTGGCCATGCTGACTACGACCCTGCTGCCCTTTGGGCTGCCCGCTCCGGCCCTGCTGACTCACCCCGGCCCCCAGCTCCCCGGACACTCCCCCAAGGCTCCGGCGGGGAAATCCTTCACCATCAACGCTCTCCTGGGCCGGGCAGACCCCTCACCGCCGCCGCCGCCACCTCCTGGCCCCGGGCGCTGGGACCCCGTCTGGCCAGACAGCGCCTGGCCGGGCGGTGCGCTCCAGCTGTGCGCCCAGGCGCATCCCCTCCTGCAGCCTCGGCCGCTCTATCCCGTCTGCTACCCGGGCTGGCGGGCCCCTCTGAGAGCCCCAGGTAAGAGCCTGATGTCCCCCGACTCTCCCCACCGCTCCCCCCGCCCCGGCCAGGGCCCCCCACTCGTGGCCACGCACCCCGCGCCTCTCCTCTGAGCTGTTTCGTCTTTACGCACAGGGTATCTGCTCTCCAAATGCTGCTTCCCAGGCTTCAGAGCCAAGTCGGGCAAATCCAAGCGGGTCAGGACCATCTTCAGCAGCGACCAGCTGGCCCGGCTGGAGAAGGAGTTCGCCCGGCAGCAGTACATGGTGGGCACCGAGCGGTGTCTGTTGGCCTCCGCTCTCCACCTCACCGAGGAGCAGGTAAGACAAGCCTGTCTCTCCCCCAGCTCTGTACCTAGATGGTAGGGATGGCAGTGCCAGGGGAACCCAGGAAGATAGCGCCTCCTCCATCTGCAAAGTGGCCTGCCCCATGTCCTGGATCCCCAGTGTGTCCAGCTCCAAGGGGGACAGAAAGAGTCAGATGAAGCCACCCAGGGCTTGAGCCCTACATAGGCTTCACAGGTTTCTCTGCATCCTCCCTGGAGTTGGGCACACATTCCCGTTGACTTCAATACAAGTTTTCCTCCAAATAAGGATGCTCCAAATAAGGGCTGCAAGATGGAGCATTTCCCAATTCTCCACCCCCCACCCCCCAGTGCAGGACTCACTCTCCCATGGGCTTTCTCTAGCTTTTCTATGGGGCGGGGGGGAGAAGGGACTGTATACATAAGAACCTCCCAAGGGAAGGGGAGTAGAAACCTTCTGGAGCCCAAGGCAGACTGAATAAAGTCCTTGAGAACAAATGGGGGTGTGTGTGGAGGGGAGAATTCCAGCAGCAGCTCCCATCTAGGAACAATGTGGAAACCTCTGTGAGCTTGATTCTGTCCTCCTTACTCTGGGCCTGACCCAGAGCCCACAGAAGTAGATGGGACTTCTCCTGCTGGCTCCAGGGCTTTGGATCAGGCTCTCTGAGTAGCTCAATGGCTGTGGCTCAAGGTGCTACTCACTGGGAGTAAGCGGGGAAGACTCTAGTTCCAGAGGCTCTTAAAAGCTGGATTTTTTGTACCTATTTCTCTTGCTGCGGTCTGGGATAGTAACAAGTCTCTGAAGTCTGAGCTTTCCAAAACAGGGCCCAGTATTATTGCTTATATCGCAGCAACAGCTCCACTTAGGAACTGGGTCCCATTATCCTAGGTGCTATAGGACCCCTGGTCAGAAGCAATATCTTCCCCCAAAAGCTTACAATCTAAATAGACAAGACAAAGTACTATTCCCCTTCTTCTCCAGGTGGGGAACTGAGGAACAGACAAGCCTGTAGCAGAACAGGGAATTCACCCCAGACTAACCATTGGACCATTCCCCACTCAACACCCCTGGATGCTGCTACCGTGGCAAGCTGCCCTGATGAGATCCAGCTGATGGCTAGGGCCCAGATCCTGAAAGGTATTTAGGTACCTAATGCCCATTGAACTCAATTGGAATTAGACACCTAAAGAACTCTGAGGATCTGGGCCTAGGTTCTCAGCATCTCACAGGAAGGAGGAATCAAACCCAGCTCTCCTGAGTCAGTCAACACCCCTTTACCCCCATTCAGGGATAACTGGCTCTCTCCAGCAACTAGTCAAATGTGTATTTCGACTGATCCTGATCTGACCAAAACCAATGGGAGTTTGACAGCTAATCGGCACAGGATGGGGCCCTCGGATGGGCCTGTTAGACAGGGATCCATGAGGAGAGGCAGAGGGGGCTGGCTGTCATCTCCCACACCTCCACACAAACTTTTCAACCAGGGAGGCGTCTCTGAAGCTCCATCTACCTCAGGTTTTGCACGGGTGTCCGTCACCACAGCATCTGAGCCCTTCCAACGTTACTAGGGCTGTGTCTACACTGCCCCTTTCAGCGCTAAAACTTGAGTCGTTCAGGGTTGTGAAAAAACACCCCCGAGTGACAAGTTTTAGTGCTGAGAAGGGCCAGTGTAGACAGCGCTTTATAAATAATAAATAAATAATAAAGCGACCACCCCTCATTCGGGGGGGGGGGTATCACCCTGGCAATAAAGTATGTCTACACTGCCCACATCATGGCGCAGCCGCGGCAGTGTAGATGTATCCTAGATCTGCTTAGCGAAGGTCCCTGGTAGAGTCTGGGTTTTAAAAGTGAAGCGTTTTCTGTTCCAAAGGTAAAAGTGTGGTTCCAGAACAGACGGATTAAGTGGAGGAAGCAGAGCCTGGAACAGCAACAAGCCAAACTGGTGAAGATGGGTCTGGCCACTCCCCAAAGGAGCCAGGATTCGCAGACCTACCAGAGAGAGGAAGGGGACAGGGACTTTACCAAGGAATCTACCAATGATCAGGAAGGTTTGTCCTCCCCTCACTTGGAGTAATCTACTGCACATCTCTCTGGACAGACTCTCCTGTTCTGTGCTTCGGGTCCTCACCCCTGTACATACTGTATTATAGCTGGCAATGTGCATATATAATATATACAGTGTAGGGATTATTTTTTGCAGTGCAAAAATAGATTAATTTATGCAATTGTTTAAAAAATAAAACACAATTACTCTGCCACTCTAGCCGGCTCAGGTTCTTACACCAGGCCTGTCACTGGGCTCTGGGCACCTACATGTGAATTATGTAGTCATTGGCTCTGTAATGTAAAACAGTAGCACTCAGTAGGCTTCTCTGAATCGGTGTCAGGATAAAAATGTATCCCAAAGTCATCGCCCCCTTCTTATTTATTTAACAACCCCTCCTCCCCCACCCCCTTCATAATAAATCTCTGATTTAGCCTGGAACGCTGCCTCTCTTTGTTCATGGTAACGCACTTGCAGGATTTTTTTTCGTCTTACTGGCATGACTTCTCGTTGCCTAGCTGCTCTTTGTATAAACAACAAAACTTTTTGGTGAAGCGGGGAGATAAAATAAAGGCACTTCCCCCCACCCCCAAACAGAATGGATTCTCGATGAGCGGGGCATAGTAGGAATAACAGCTTCATTCTGGCAAAAGAATAAGATAATGGACAAATATGGAGATGTTGGGTTCGCTCCTTTCACACACCCTCTAAATCAGAGGATAAGAATCAAAACTGGTGGGTCTGAGAGATTTACACTGCACTAGTCCAGCTGCGCCACTGTACTGCTTCAGGGAAGATGCTACCATGTCAGCGGGAGAGTTTCTCCCGTTGGCGTAGCTAATCCATCTCCGCGAGAGGCGGTAGCTATGTCTACCCTGGGGTTAGACTGGTAGCGTTCAGAGGTGTGGATTTTTCACACCCCTGAGTGACACAGTTCACTAGTGTAAGTTTACAGTGTAGACCTGGCCTTGGTTTGTTCTAACCTCTCTTTGTTTCCAGTGTTGTAGCCATGTTGGTCTCAGGATATGTGAGTGCCGAGGCTATCCAGCCAAATGAGAGCCTGTCCAGGGAATGAAAAGGAGTACTTGTGGCACCTTAGAGACTAACCAATTTATTTGAGCATGAGCTTTCGTGAGCCACAGCTCACTTCATCAGATGTGTACCGTGGAAACTGCAGCAGACTTTATATACTGTGTGTATATAGTATATAAAGTCTGCTGCAGTTTCCACGGTACACATCTGATGAAGTGAGCTGTGGCTCACGAAAGCTCATGCTCAAATAAATTGGTTAGTCTCTAAGGTGCCACAAGTACTCCTTTTCTTTTTGCGAATACAGACTAACACGGCTGTTCCTCTGAAACCTGTCCAGGGAATGAGGGAGTTTACAGTAGTCCAGACAAAGGGGAGCAGAGAGGCAACGGGACTTGCCCACGGTCACACACAGGGCAATGGCAGTGGCTGGGAATAGAACCCAGGCATCCTGACTCCCACTCGAGCACACTAAGAAAGATAAAAAGCAAACAGCGCTGCTACCTCTGTGTTCGTTATTCCACAAGGAATTTTTGTTAATGCTGAAAGAGAAGAGATAATATTGTGTCTTATTACATCGCTTGGCAAATGCACATTGCCCTTTAAAACGGGCAAGGGCTGCAGGGTAGGACCCCGCTCGTGCACAAACAGCTGGGAGTAGTCCTAGCTTCCAGGTGCCTTATGCGTGGGAGTAAGCACAGTTTCCCCACTGAGTGTTTTCAGAAGCAGGGCTGAAAGTAAGATAAATGTGGTGTGTAGCCACATGACAGGTTAATGCCCTCCACTAGAAGAGCTAGGGGGTTTAGTACTGTATTAAATGGTGATATTTTTATTATTTGATTTTAAAGGGCATGTAGTGAAAAATGTTTAAAATACATGGGGTTGATTCTACTGCCTTTACACACTAAGCATCAAGCACCTGCCCTCTGAAAATCAAGCCCCTTCAAAGTGTCTCAAATTGGGTCCCCCAAATCACCAGTCACTTGAACAGGTTAGCTTTCGTTCCTCTGTGACTCAGTTTCCCACCCGTACAATGGGAATAATAGTGCTACCCTACCTCTTCGGATAAATATATTAAAAATTGTGAGGCAATAAGATATTCTGGCACTGGGGGGAAGATAAGTAGCTTAGAGTTTAACAAATTAGAAACATCAAGAAAATGGGGCATGATTGCATGGATGTACTGAAGCTGTCAGAAGGTGAATTTACCAGCCTGACTGCCAGGGATCCAATCCAGGTCTGCACAGACTTCAGGAGAAAGGGCCCAGTCCTCAAGTTACAAAACACGTGGCCCAGATCCACACAGGTATTTAGGGTCCTAACTTCACTGAAATCAACACTAAGTTAGGTACCTAAATACCTTTGAGGAGCTGGGCCTTGCTGGTTTAAATAGGGGCAGGATTGGGCCCAGATGTCAGTAATTCCAGAAGAAAAACATGCATGAGGAATATTTTGATCTTCTCCCAGTGTTTTACTTCGGACAGTCACAAAGACAGAGGTCCAACACCGTGGAGTCACTCCTGATTTAACACTGGCTTGAGTGAGAGCAGAATTAAGCCCACAGTAAAACACAGAGCCAGATTTATCACACGTCCCGCTGAAATCTCTGGTAGCTGCCGGTGCTCAGAAAAGCAGGTCTGTACTCAATACTTCTGAGCCTGTGTGGGCATCATGAGGCTCAGAATCCAGGGGGAAGGAGTGGCTCAGAAACATGGAAGAGTTTGTCTACACTTGGAAGTGGTTTCTGATTCAGGGAGCGGGTGAATTGAAAGTACTATAGCTGCCCCTGAATAATTCCATGTGTGGACACGCTTACTCTGGAATAAGAGTGTTCATACATTGAGTTAATCAGAAACAAATCTATGTGCAGACAAGCTAAGACAGGGAAAAAATAACATCGCTGATTTTTATTCAGAACTTTCTATTGAAATGAATGGGGACCTTTGGAGCCAGTTCCCACACCCATGAAGCCAACGGTATCACAGGGCTGGGCACAGTATAGTGTGGGACTGGCAGGATTGCATCCTGAAACTGGTAGAAAAGTACTGATCGTGTCTTCAAAACCATGGGGAAAGGCATAACCCCCCCCCATCACCCCCTCCAATGATCCCCCAGGCTCAATAATCCACATCCCCAGTGATGGGAGGGGACGAAACCCAATAGGATCAGAGACTTTATTCCGGCAGAAGGGAAACACAAAGCATCAGCAGAGGTAAGAGAAGAGGATGATGTGATTGAAGCTGCCCTTTGTTCCGACTGTTTCCAGAGCTGGGATTAGCTGGAGTCTCAAAGAGCCCAAACTGTGCTAATGTCTTTAGCTGTCTGGTGTGACCCGATGGCGTGTTTGCCGGCTTGAACTCTGTCATCTCGGATGCCACTAGCTTTACTGGGCTCTGCCTACAGACCACAGGAGCGACCCCGGGCATTTGAAATATAACATTGCTGGGGAGGCAGCTTCTGAGCCGGAGCAGCACCAGGTTCTCAGGACCAGGGGAATCCAGGGGGCTCTGCATCTTGCAGATTTGGGCTCACAGACACAAAACTTTACTGGTGTTTGGGCCCTTCCATATGACCAGCCTGCTATGAGGGGCCTGATCCTGCGGTGTCCTGCACGCTCCAAACTCAGGAAGAGTTTAGGTGGAAAAGGGGATCTAGGACACTTTACTAGCCTAGCCCAGCCCTGCAGTCCTGACTTCAGGGAAGTTTTGACCGGGTATAGGCTGCCTGCCTGGGCATTCTAGTGGGAACCTATGTGAATTACAGTCTCTAGTTTGATCTATGTTTGCTATGGACAAAATTTTTAAATCCTGCCTAAAAAAGCATCGCAGAGTTTGGCATTAACAGTTTCCTCTCTGTGGCAGGGGGACTCTCTTTTCTGGGTTGGCATCATGAGCTAATTGATGAGGCACTGGACTGGAACTCAGGAGACCTGAGTTCTATGCCCAGCTCTGCCAGTGACTTTGGGCAAGTCCATGTGCCTCAGTTTCCCCTCCCATGCTTTTTCTGTTTAGACTGTAAGCTCTTCAGGGAGGGAGGGACTATCAGTGTGCATCTGTGCAAAACCATGGGGCCCTGATCCCAGCTGGGGCCTCTAGGCACTACCATGCTATAGATAATAATACAAATAAACAAACAAGGACAAAGGGCCTGATCCTGAAAACCATCACTAGTGGGACAAATTTCAGTGTCTCCAGAACAGCTGCACTGACTTCAATAGCGCCATCCCAGGGTTGCACTGGTAGATTTCCTGCAGGCTAATCACTCTCAGACCTTGGTACCCTCGCGTAGGGGCTCGTAGGCTCAGGTCCCACGTCAGGTGTCAAATGTCTGCCAGACACATTGCACAACTTCATCACAAGAAGGCACATGGCTTCCAAGTGAATCCCAGAGCAGCTGAGGCTTGCCATAGCAGGTGTGCAAATAGGGCCCGATCCTGGAAGTGCAGGCGGTCTGGAGTCAATGGGAGGTGCCGAACACCTTGTTACGTAATAAATACTCTGGGTGCGGGTGGAGTGCTGGTTATGGAAGGAGAAACCTCTAGCACAGAGGCCACTGGGCCGTAAGGAGCAACCTGCACATTCATTCAGACCTACCAGAAGCATTCTCTGTGCTAGCAATTCACGCCTTGGGAGATCCCTCTTTGGGACTAACACGGGGCGCTCTGCAGTTCTTGTTCCCTCTCGGGGGTTCCCATCCTGCAGTCCGCACTCAAGCAAAATGCCAAATAGACCCTGGCGGGGTTTTACTGGAATAAGTGCTACAGGTTTGGGTTCCTGAAGGAGAAATTGATGGACTCGGGCATGACCCCACAAAACCCTTACTCACACGAGGAGGCCCATCGAAATCAACGGTGTTACTCATGGGAGTAAGATGTGCAGAGGTTGGCATGGCAGGTGCATAGGGCCAGATCCTCAGCTGGCGCAAACGGGCATTGCTCCGTCAGAACGACACCGGCGTACACCAGATGCAGATCTGACCTATTGACTTCAATGGAGCTACACCCATTCACACCAGCCAGGGATCTATAATGCCCCTCAGCCACCCCCTCTCCATACAATATGGGCCCATGCTCCCTCTGTAGCTCATTATAGT